ATAATTTATCTATAATGTAAACATCATTGAAAAATCACTATCTTTTATCTGTACAAAATATAGTTTTTTATTTAAATATGACCTTAATTTGTCCACCAATGATTATTCGCACATAAAAGCGAATTATTTGTAAAAAATGAATCACTTTATAAACAAAAATATAGAGAAGAGTGTTAGTAATAAAATATAGTGGTTTTAATATAATATTAATTTTTAAAAATTATATTTATATTTTTAGATTTTTATATTATAAATAAGTTCTTTAATAACATTAATTATAATGGTTAAGTGCAGTGAAAATATATATACTTTAGTTTTATTTATATTAATAATTATTTTAATTGAAGCAAATGCCAATAGCGACAGGTAATTTCTAAAATGATAATAAAACTAGGTGTAAGTGTTTAGAACATACACGGTCTTAAATGTTAAATATTCCAAAGATTTATGAATAAAGCATTCATTGTTTTACATATCTAGTGATAAAATAATATATAAGAATTACAGCTTGCTACTATAATATAATTATTAATTTTTACTATTTCAATTTTTTATATTTAAATTTAATCGACACATTTTGTTTTCTAGTTCCATGGACACCACTCGACAATTGAAAGCTGAGAAAAATCAATCCAGCAATGACGAACCAAAGAATTCTACAAAAATAGTATTTGTATTATTAAATTTAAAAAAAAACATTGACCACACTCTGCCCGTTAATAAATCCAAAAGATCTATACTGAATCATCCGATTCCTAGAAATTTTGATTATGCTGAAGCACCAGTTTTTGAATCGGATACAGATTATGAGAATTATTTAAAAACATATTTTTATCATGATGATGGACTAATTTCCAAGCATCAGCCGAGGCCCCATGGTGGTAAATCAAGAAGACGATATAGAAATAGACCTAGAAGAAGGTACAGGAGACGTAGACCGGATGCAACAAAGTGCAGGAGAAAGATTTATTTTAGAACTAGAAGGAATTTTAGACATCACAATGAAGAACCATATACTAAATTTGTTAGAGATCCAAGTGTAGATCAAGACAATTATCAAGCCTTCAATAATCAATCGACTTCATCTACAAAGAATGATGTGTTTGTGGTCTATCCAGAAGAGGTATTGACATCAGACAATTTACCGTCAGGAAAAAATGTTTTAATTGACGATAAATCGGTTGTAGGTGATATTGGTAGTATTTCAAGTTATCAATCAAAGCTTAAATCTGGCAAACAGGACTCAAAATTGTGGAAACAAGAATTGTCAGTAAATGAATTTAAACCAAATTCAAATTTTGAACAGCCAAAGAATTATTGGCGTCACGAATCTTTAGGCAAAACTTTGAACATGAGACAGGATAATTTATATGATTTTTTGCACAAAAGTTTCCAACTTGATGGTCCAATAACTTCAGAAACTTTACTAAAGTTACAAGTGGTGAAGCAGTTGCTTGAAGCTATACAGAATGCATATTTAAATCAAAATAGACATATTACATCTAAATATAACATAGATGATGATTGGATACCCATCACACCAAGTCTTAATACTATTGGGAGTTCTACAAAAGATTTAAATATAGAAAATAAAGTAAATGATGGGTTTCTACAACCTAAATATGGTTTTAATGATGAGTACTATCCAGACAAATTACATGGACCTGGACCAAGTTATATAAATGACAATTTAAGTGCTTCATCTGACATGGGAGGATATTCCAGGCCTGCATATCATTTGTATCCACCCAACAACTGGTATTTACTTCAAAATTATCATACTTTACCAAAGTATGTATTTTCTACTCAACCAGAAGACATTGTTGGAAGTTATCCAGTTTTTGGACATATGCTAGTTCAAGATGAATTTCCCGAAAGTCAAAATATTAAAAATGGTGGTAAACTTCAACACTTGGACAATGTATTATACAATGCACATGATAGTATTATCAATACAAGGAAAACGGCTGCACAAGTTGATCAAAATGACTTGGATTCGAAAATATTACATTTCAAGTTAAGTCCTAATATAATAAATAACATGTTTGACAAATATTCAGTACAACATCCAAGTGTGTTGAAAAATTTGAATTTTGTTAAAAATTCACCGCAAGAAATCAATAATCTTGCTGATTTTGAAAATATTGATCATAATCAGTGGAAATATTATACGTCTAGTTTTATACCAGGCACTCACCATAATTTGAGACAAGTTAATAATCAGTATAACAATTTGCCTAGATTTGAGTATGTTCCTACAAATGTCAATGGTTTTAAACCAAATCCTAAACGCCAATATACTAAGACGCAACACCAGCCAAGTTGGAGTCAAGATTTTAACAAATTTGTTCAAAACCAACAACAAAAACTTGCTGAAGACGATTTTGTGTACCACAAAAACCACAAATACCTTTTTCAACCTGTTCAAAAGCCAGTAGCACCACCCAAACATCAGAAGTTTGGTCAAAATTTATTTAAACCATTTTTTAAACATATACCCAAGTATGAAATGTTTGAACCTGTGCCTGGACAAATTTTAAGACCTCCAAAATTTAAGCCGATTCCTACAAAAGGGCCTTTGTTGGTAGAGGAGAAGGATAGTGACTTGAGAAAGTTGAATATGTATTTGAGTTTTGTGAGGCCGTACGATGACAAGAAAATGGAGTTGAATTCTATGGAATATTTTGTGAAAAACAAGAATTTTGGACGTAGGTTTGATGAAGAGGATGTAAGACAACATTTTAAACCTGTATGGTGGACCGATGAAACCAAGTTGTTGGATAATATTTTTAAAACTAAAGCATTGAGGCTGGAACAAGAATTAGATGATAGGTCAATGAAAGAAAATCAGTTTTTTATCAATGGTACTTATAACTTTATACCACCAAATGATAATCAGAAAACACCTAAAAGTATTTTGGGTATGGCTAAGATTCACTCTGCAGAACACAGGTTGAATACTATGTCAATCGATAAATTGGGTAATATGAAAAATAGTAATCCAAGAAGTAATGATACAATTGCTGCATCAAGCAACTCCAAAGCCAATTCGAAGTTTGTGAAGATTGGTCATATAGTTTTAGCAAATAGTCATAATTTTATTGATGAAAGCAAATTGTTAGATGATATTCTTAAAATGAAAGAGAAACAAGATCCCAAAGCCATAAATGAAAATCAGTTTTTTAATAACAGTACTGCTTTAAACGGTACTTACAAGTATATCCCTTTGACTGGCAATCAGGAAACATCTAAACCTATTTTGGGTGCTGCTAAGATTAATTCTGAATACGATAGTTGGAATATAAGATCAATAAATAAACTAAATAATGTGAAAAATAGTAATCCAAAAAGTAATAATACCATTGCTGCATCTAGCAACTCCAAAGCCAATTCTACGTTGGTGAAAATTGAGCATGCAGTTTTAGTAAATGGTGGTAATTTTACTATTAAAAAGAAGAATATGAATAATAAACTTGAAACCAATAAACTAACTAAACTTGAAACCTTGGTGACAGCTGATAGATCAATTAGTAAAACAGGAGGTGTTGATAATTTACAAATAACAAATGTAGTTTCCACTAATCCTGCCATCGGTAATGGGATGATTGCAAAGGCAAGTTCTATGAGTCTTGACTACTCTTCGAAAGCTGGTAATAAATGATTTTTTTATCTTATGAATATAATGGACTAATATTAATGCTTTGAAGTGCAACCATATTATATTCATTTTTATTAAAAATGTGAGTTTACCAAGTAAAACATCTTTGAAGTGGTATTTAGGATAGTGATTTTCAAAATTTATTGTATATAATTAAGTTGTAGTGTCTAATAATTTTATTTTTATTAAACATTTTATTTTGAAGTAAGTAAATAAATGAAAAATGAACCTTCATACAATTATTTTATTGAGACATAATTTTTACCAGTTTTATTATTGACTTAAGAAATATGTGATATATAAATCTATCTAACGATTTATACAGAACTACAAATGTTGGAATAATTCTACTTTTTGACTTTATGTTATTATTTACAGAAGAAATGAGTTGAAGATTTTTTTTGTAATATTCCAGGATCGTAAAGACAATGTAGTATATTTAGTATAGTTTGAAATGTTTATTAAACACAATAAAGCATGTCAAATTTATAATTTCAAAATTTTATATATCATGCACGTATAAAAAATAATTAAATTTGTTATGTTGGTGACACTGCAGCGAACATCTTTTTGTTTACAGCATACAGCGACAGAAACGCATTTTAAAATGGTGGACGGTTGGCGTGTAAAATTATTATTGTGTGTTGTGATTATTAATAAATAAAGGAGTGATTAACAAGTGATTAACTACAGATCTGTTAATTAGTACGTACTAATTATTTAATTGAACTTTGTACGGTTGTGTGATACATTGTTTACGATAAAAATCACCAACTAGGTTTCTAACCTAGCACTTTCATATTTTATTTACAAATGTCATGTTTAGTCACTCGGGAAAGCTTATTATTTTAACTCATCATTTAGCTCATCATTTTAATGTAGTTTACAATTTTATGTTTGCTTATATCACATGGTACAAACACGTAAGTCGTTGAATATGCGATTCCAAATATGTACATTAGGTAGGTACATATAGGTTAGATTTTTTACTTGATTTATTTTTCAAGACTCTTTTGTACTTACACATTGAAGACATCAACTTTGTCTTATACTGAAGCTTTTGAATACTTTCCATATGCAATTTTTAGATAACGTTTGGAGATCTAACATTGTCGCATACATAATAAAATTCACACACAAATCATCGCACAATTGTTAAAAAATTCTTATCTCACATATTTAATTTCACAAAATATTATAAAACAATTTTACTGAATAGATAATATTTGGAAACAAAATGTTGCTAAAACATCCAGAGCTTTGGTAATGACTAAGACATACTTGATATAACATCCAGAGCTTGAGTAATGACTAAGACATACTTGATATAACATCCAGAGCACCCGTAGTGATATAATGTAATTTCAAAAGGCAGCTACATAATTGTCTCTTTCTGGAAAATCATCATGTGGATTTTTAAGCTAAGCCTCGAGTGTAGATGTCATCAGTTGGTCAATTGTTTTAAATACTACTAAAGGAAGATTTATGTGAAAATTATAATCAAATGGTAAGATATACTGTTTTACTGAAAATGTTGAAAGTACCTATTCCGCGAATAAGATCTATTACAAATATTTGAGACATTACAACTTACACACATTTATTATGCTTTCTCGTTAAAATTATAATCAAAGGATAAGATATACTGTTTTACTGAAAATATTGAAAGTACCTATTCTACGAATATGATCTATTACAAATATTTGAAATATTACAACTGGTATTGAAGCTCCTTATTGTGTCTGTGTGGCTTATTCGCACACATTTATTATGCTTTCTTCTTACTTGTGTATTTACTCACCAAGCGCTAGATGAATTAAATAGAATTTTATTTATGTAGTAGGAAGGAACAGAAATAGAAATTCTATTCTTTAAAAATACATAATTCATATGTAATTGCTATCGTTTTGAAGGCAAATGAACTTTCGGTTCACACTGTACAAAGATATTTTTATTCTCAAATCGCAATTTTTTTTTTCTATCGATATATATATATATATATATATATAATATATTATATGTATATATATATATATATATATATATATATATATATATACATATAATATATATTAAACTCAAATTAAACATATATATCAACATCAAATTCAAGACTATCCAAAAATATATATATATATATATATATATAAATCTTGAGGATTTTTTGTTCGACGTTGAAACATATTGAAATGAATAAAACAGCCAATGCGTCGAATGTAGAAAATTTAAATTTTTGTAAATTTCTTTTAGCTGAATGATGAGACACATCTAGTCTCAAAACGTTTAAAAAATTAAAATAAATTTTCTACATTCGACGCATTGGCTGTTTTATTCATTTCAATATATATATATATATATATATATATATATATATATATATATATATATATATATATTTCAACGTCGAACAAAAAATCCAGCACCTTTAGATAAAATATTGTAGATTATCGATAAAGCTGATTTTTTTTAAACGAGATTTACAAAACTAAAACTATGTTTAATTTTTCAGAAGATACTTTTGATGAAATGCGAGTACTTCCTAGCTGAAAATAATATTTGCATATGTTGAACAAATCTCAAACACAAATGGGCATGAACACGAAGGAATAGTTATCGTACAAGGAGCAGTCTTCTCTTCATTACAGTAATTATAATAATAAAAATATAATGTATTTTTGTATATTTTTTATTTAAGTTTAATATGACATATTAATATATGATGCTACTACTTATATAAAAGATTTGTAAAATGCAAAGCTGTTTATTGCATCACAAACTTTGATGATTATGTGAAATTGATTCTCACACTTAAATCAATTTATAAAGTATACTGTTAACAATAGCAGAATATTTGTACAACAATTACAACAAATGGATTTAAAACGTTTTCATCAAAGTACATAATTTTTTAGCTGAAATAATGCAACATTAAATTGGATCAGCCTTTAATGTGGATGTGTACAGTATTTTGAGTATCATTGCATCTTTTTCTAAAGAAACCATTCCTTTGTACGCATTGTATTACAAACATCGGATATTGAAGTTAATTTATTTTAAGTCATTATCCTAGACTTATTTTGGCTTTGCCTTTCTGTTATTCTTACGATTCACTTATTAAGAATTAACATATGAAGAAGGGACATATTTTAGGTGAAAGCTAAGGTTATTTGATGATTATTATGTATACTTTGGAGAAAATTACATTAGTTATGATACAAAATAGAAACAATTTGAACATAATTTATAACTAATTCAAGTATTGTATAAGTGTAAATGTTTTGACATAAAAAATAACTAGTCGTCATATTGCCTTAAGGAAAGTTGCATTAACATTGCAATCTGCTATTTTACGAGATATTTATTAGAAACAAAATAATAACACTTTGAAAATAAAATATTTAACTGAATCAAGTATTGTGTAAGTGTAAATAACATAGACATAAAAAATTAACTAGTCATATTGCCTTAAGGCAAGTTGCATGAACTTTCCTTAAATGTGGAAATAATCGGCTGAATCAAGAATATATTCTTGATATTTAGTTTATGCAAGGCAATTGATGACAGAAACATTTTATTCAATTTAAACATAGAATACAAATAATTTAAATATTATTAATTACTTAAACAAAAAGCAATCTTAACCAAAAATTAATCAGCTCGATGTGCTTTTATAATATCCCATAAAATCAATTTTACAATATATTTTTAAAATATTTGTATCAAATGAAAGTGGCGTTTCATTTTATTGCATTTTTAGTCTGTACTTTCATTGGCTACGGTTTTTTTACATCCACATTTTATTAAAAGTAATTCATTGTCTACAAATCTGACTTTACAAACTTCATAATGAAGTTTTGTGAAATTTAATTAGGTGTGCAATAAGTAGCTACTGATGACAATATTCTAATGCAAAGTTTAAATAATCTTTTACATTACAAATTGTTTATCAGTTACAAGTCAAAAAATGCATTTTTGTGGACTAATATGTAATAACATATTACTTTAGACAAATAACGCAAATTTGACAAAGAGTTTCTTTTATATGTCTATTGAAATATAAAAATAATTATAATATAATTTTACGTTGCAGTTTGCCGACAGACAGAAGCCCATACAACATGATAGTGGTGGAATATAACAAAACCGTTAGAGATCATTATTGCTTTCAACTTTTTTTTTTCAAAAATACCACTGATGTTATATTTTGTTAGTTGCTATAAATATTCTATTATAACTTTATAATATTACCAACATTTAATGATAAAACTGTAGATTTACAGTTTTTCAATTTGAATCTACAGTTTTCTACAGTTTTTTTCTGGCCTATCTACAGTTTTTCTCTATGGTGGACCTGGCAACACTGCTTCTGTCTAATGTCTAAGCCACCGTCTAACATACAACAAGTCTTCGTAAATGTAAAATTATTATTTCTGTGTACAATAGATTCTGTATATAATTTCTTCGCGTGTTTCTTTTTATACCATAAAGTTTGGTCCTTCATCACGCATAATATTAATAAAATCAGTGCTAATATATATAAAAGGACGCCGATTTTTTCGCCGTGAAGAAAGTTGATAAAAAGTTTCATAAATGGTTGAAACTTAAAACTATTCACGCTAAAAACAAGAATTGAATACGCTCAAGCTCAACAATAGAGCAGCAATATTTATTATTGGTGAATTGAGTGGATGCACGCAGATTTCATTTGAGAAGAAGTTAGGCCCACGAGGCTCCAGAGTTTGTCATCGCTGTTGTACTGGGGCTCATCTGAGAACTGGAGCACACCTGGCACAGAAGGCTATGTCACATCTTATACAATAACAACACAAGACACTGTCATACAAGGGTTTGGAGCACCGGAGTGGCGTGAAAGCGGTATTTACGACAGTTGTAACTTGTAAGGTAAGGTACAAATAGAGTAAGTTAATTAATGTACATGTTATTTAGCATATGTCACGTTTAGATGCTCTTACGAATATTGGTACCCCATCACTGTCTAGGTCGGTAGATTCAAATCCAGCATTAGATGTTAAGTTACCAGAGATCACGTTACCCAAGTTCAACGATGATTATTTTTTGAGTGGACCTAATTTATTAGATCTTTATAACTCCTAAATTCACAATAACACAAAGTTGCTGGAAGTCCAAAAGTTGCACTCTCTAAAGGGAGCTCTACTATCGTTTGCTGCAAAACTAATATCATCTTTAAGCTTAACGAATGAGTATTACACTATGGCCTATGAGCTGCTGTGTAAGACCTATGACAATAAATTTTTAATACTGAATTCCGATTTGCAGCAGATTGACAACATACCCCAGATACACACAGGAACACATGAAACTCAGAGCACTTTTCTGTGCAGTGCGAGGCTACAAATACGTGCTCTTTCAGCTGTGTATGAACCAACTAAACATTAGGATCTTATTCTGTTGTATATGCTGAACAAGAAAGTTGACAGCCATACTCGCATGGCATGGAATTTGTCCAGGACAAGTAAGTAGACCCACAATTAGAAAGTAGACCCATTCAGGGAAATTCTAAAATGGTTCATGTTAGTACTGTGAAAAAAGTACTATCTCCGTGTTGTTATTGTAGTAAGGGAAGTCATCCAATGTACAAAAGTTCCATGTTTAAGGACTTGGAGATTTCAGGGTGCAAGGAACTGGTGTTAAAGCATTCACTGTGCACTTGTTGTTTACTTCCTGCACATGATGCTAAGAGATGTAGTTTTAAAGGTACTTGCTATAGATGTAAAGAGCCCCACAACATTATAATTCATGATGAAAATAGTTCTTCGTCACCATCAACTAGCCAATCAACTCAATTCTGGCAACAATATTCTTTTAGCTAGGCACAATAACATACAAACTTTTCTTTCCACAGTCTCTCGATATGAATGAATTTGATAGTTATATATCTATTATTAGTATTATACTATTTTGCAGATTTTACCTGAAGCCAAGTACATTGAATTGTTACGCATTTGTATTTAGAAGACTATTGGAATCCTGAGAAGCGTATCAGAAATTTGAAGTTAAGGTAATTATACTATTATTTTGTTGTATGGTTTCATTTGGTTGTAGTTAATAAAATCATATAGATCTTAAAAATATTACACTTATTTCACAAATTTTGTAAATATGTATTATTTAAAGAAATTGGGATTGATTTGATTATTGTTTTACATTATATTTAGTACATTTATTCACTGAACAACCTGTGTCTCTTCAGCACATCAGGCTACTGGCAATTTATATGCATTTGGATTGAGTATTTGTGAATAAAAATTAATTTGATCTATTATATTGATTTATAATAATTATTATTTCTTTCAGATGTTTGTCCAATTTGGCGTCATGTTAATACTTTAAACCTCTTTGGAGTCTTGCAAACTGATATTTGTTCAAATTTCAATTGCTGTAGTGTTTATTAGAAAATAGTATTATTACAATGTCAAAGTTTTGTGTGTGAAGTGATTTTGTGATACATTCCAAGGAGTTTTTATTATCGGAGTATGGATGCTGACTTCCAGCTAATCAAGAATGATTGTAAGGCGCTGTGGTAAGTGATATTTATTTAAATGGCATGCTCATATATAATACGATCACACTAAATTCGCGGAAATATGATTGATTTCAAGCAGTGAAGCCAATAACACGTATTTATTTCAATTTAATCATGTTTACGCTATTGTCTTATAATGTTATTTATAGCTGATAACATTGGCATATTTCCATTACATGTAAATGATTCCTAATTTCTCTAAAAGTTTTCACACTTTTATTAAGTTAGTTTCATACAAATTAGTTTTCTTTTATGAATTTGTTAAGGAATTCGCGATTTAGCCTTTTATTTTGATGCTTTCTTGCAAATTGGTTTCTTTTTATGAATTAGTTAAATGTTTTAAATATCTGTACGCCTTTTCTATTCATTCAGTATTTGTTTATTTCACAATAATATTACTGAGTAGTTATTAATTAAACAATAGACCCAATATTAGTATTTGCTTCGATTAAATTGTTTTCAAATTTTATATTAGAATATAAGAATTGTTCCGTTTAATTTTTTTTCATTAGCTTTGATTCTATTCATATGTGCAACTAATTTTTTCATTGTGAAATTTAAAAATATTTGAGAATATGGAGAAAGAAGAAACTTTTGGCAGTATTCCGAATGATATGATATGATTAGATTTTATGTATATCATGTTTGAAAAGCAATTCAATGCAAACACGTGGTGTAGTTTCAGACCTCGAGGAAAGTTAGAACATTTGGAATCCGATGACAAATTTGAATCACTAGAAAAATCAATTTATTTATTTTCACAACATATCTGCTTGTTGCCAATATGGAGATTAGAGACTGTGTACAGTCTAATAATTTTGCTATAAATGCGAAAATTACAAAAGTTATGATGCAACTTAAAGAAATTAAACTATTTTTATCATTTATTTTTTTCAAATTTCATAAATCAATAAATTTTTTACATATGACGAGCTTTTGTGCTTATCGTGCAAGATGTAATTGCTTATTGAAATTAAAAATACATTATGAATTCTTTATTTGCACAATTGAGTAGAGTTTATAATATCAATTTTGAATATTGAAGAATCAAATACAAATTGCAATTTCATAACTTCATATTCGTTTGTTTATACATATTTGAAATGACGAACCAAAATTAATTTGTAAATTTATTTTCATTTAATTTTGTTTCATTCAATAGTGGTAATAATGTACCTTGTCTGTTTAAATTCATTACATACTTAGCAAATTTGTCACTTTAAAAATGAATGTGAGTAACATACATTAATCCTACACGATTATTTTTAAACAGTTGTAAACAGCAACTCGATTTACTTCAAAATGAATATTAAATATGCAATTGATTTATGCTCACAATGCATTTTTACTAAAACATAATTTTTACATATGAACTTTTTGCATTAATATAAATAATGTCAATTATTTCAATAAGATATATTTTGGGAAATCTGTACAAAATTGAACAATGTACAACAATTTCGAAGAGCCAGATTTATATAGATGAAATTGATATTGTTATTGCAATACACTTGAACACATTTTTTAAGTGCTACAAAATGTATCATCTTTATTGAAAGTTTAATAGCATTTGATAAATGTAATTAATGTGAATGAAAAACTAAAAACTGCAAGCCTACATTGAATGACGTGCACGTTGCATACAAATTTGATGAAATCATACAAGTTTTATAACTGTTTTAATATTTATGAATTTGTATCAAATAATGATATGAATTATTAAATATGAATGCAAACTCAGTCTACTGTTGAATCATATTTGAATTTCAAATCATAAAGTTTTGATAAAAATACAAATGAAAATTCTTTCATTGGCATTAGCAAAAGATTTTACTTTTTACTTGTATATTTTTCATTCATGCTTGATTTTATTTCTAGTGATTTTGATAATATTTTATAAATTAATTTTATTAACTGTTCAAAAAAAAAAGCCAAAATGATCGATAGGCAAAAGACACCATCTATATATTATGATTTTGCAATTTTGAACTAGCAATTTATTTTATATAATTGTTCTACATTTTATATAATTAACAATTTAATTGAATAATGCCTGAAATTGAACAATTTCAAGCGAATAATATAAAATGTTCTATGTTGTTGGAATGTATGGTACCTCTTATCAATATGCTAACAAACATTCATTTATCTTTATTCTTTGCTCATGAAAATCAAATTTAATTTCACTTGAAATTTTTAATTCATTGATTCTTGAAAAATTGAAAAGTGAGTTCCTAGACAATATACTGAGTGAGTTTGCCATTCAATTTGTTAGCTACAGTTATAATTGTAAAGTATATTTAGGTACATTGATTTTATTATATTACTAGCTGACAACATTCACTATTCTAACCTACAATATTCAAAGTAATATTTTTATATGTGAATGGCAAACATTATCTCGTAAAAACTTTATAAGTTAAAAATTCAATGTTGTTGAATTTTCTTAATTTGTTTGAAATATTTACATTGAAAATTATTTTAGGTTTATATTAATTTGACAGTTTTCAATTTCTAGATTGAAGGAAATTGCAATCCACTGATATTTTTAAATAGATGACATTTACTCACATGTCTTACAGTTGATTTTTCTGCTAATACACACTAGAAGCAACATCATGATTTGAACAAATCGTCGTTTGCATTATGAATAATACATAAAAACTGTTTGGGAAATCTTTGAGATCGACATTGAAATGCTTGTTGTGGCAAATGATTCATAACAAAACATTTATTTAACTTGGAAATTCACAAGTGCCGGCGCTACCGCGCTTAACGATGTGGCATTATGGACTTGCCGACATACATATTGTGGAATATGTGATGGGATAGATGCTCTGCAATTCCTACAGTGAATGAAACAATATGGACTTGCCGATATACATATTGTGGAACATGTGCATTCTTGAAAGAAATAACAAGGGTGATGCTCTAAAAATCGTACATTGAATCAAACAATGTGGACTTGTCGACATGCATATTGGGTAATATGTGCATTCCTGAAGAAAATAACGTGAAAAGCAATCGTGGGCCCTAACTGAAGAGAACCATTTCAAAGAATGGAACCAATGTATTCTTGCCGTAGGATTTCAAAGAGGCTGCTGCTTTTATTAAATTAGGTATGTTTAGCTCGAATATTAAAATAATTCATGTACTCTACTCTTTAAATAACAATAGTTTAATGAATTTATTTTATTTCAGAAATAATCCTCACTCGAACAATACAATATACCTTTGGTGCATTTGGTGCAAATGGATTGGCTTGAATAACTAAACACGTCAAGACGAGAACTGTTGGAAGAAAACCAGGCAAATCAGAGGATGCATGATTTCAAATCCTAGAATTACTAGTAAATGGCTACCTAATTAAAGACTTTGAATCAATATAGGTAAGTTATTGTTAAACTGCTTGATAATATTAAAAAATTTCATCAGTGATGAATTTATATTACAAATTTAATTTACTTGAGTATTGCAGTCAAATAATATAAATGATTTAAAAAATTTGCCGGTAATTTTTTATATAAATTTGAATAATTAATGTAATAATTTTTTTTACAGAGAATACCGGCAATGCAAAACAAAGAATATTAGAAAAACATCATCAGCTATGAAATATGCTGCAGCTGGCTGCTACTGCAATTCTTGGTCAACTCTCAAAAAATGGAAGGCTCTCGTGCTTCTTGATAGGTACAACAGTTAAATTCAATATTTTATTCAAAATAAAACAGTTTATATTTTTTTTATTATTATTATTATGAAGTTCTTAAATTCAATTTTCTTTTACAGTGAAGGTTTCGAAATAGACAATGGAATTTAGTAAAGATGGAAAGTGTTTGAACATCATCGTGCTCTGCCAAGGGCCTAATCAGGTTAGTAATTATAAAATAGTTATAATTACACACATGAGTATAAAAATTGACAACAAATTATAAGAAAAGAAAATACGAGTAATTTTTCATATAAATTGCAATGATATTTTTAAATAAAATATTGTTAATATTTAGTGTTTAAATGTAACTGTATACGTACAATTATTGCAATTAAATCAACAAATGTTTATTTCTACATTTATTTCCAAGATTTTATTTCAAACTTAAATTTATTTATTAAGTTACTGAAATGATTGGTTTTTAATATAATCATTAGAAAATGCAAAAATGAACAATTAATTTATTCAGGGAAGACAAATGAATTCGAAAATGACATTGTCTACGGCAGAGCTTTAGAAGCAACATTATCCCTGCATGGCAGCAATAGTGACCATAAGGTGTGTGATGAAATAATTTACAATTAATACTAATGAAATATTTTAGTATTTGGAAAGTAAAAATATAGAAATTTTTTATTATAATTTGGCATTGCATATCATAAATGAATGGAAATTGTTCAGCAACTACTAAATTTTGAATATTTGAGATCTGAATGAATGATCAATCATAAATTTTGTAATCCTTGATGAAACAATGTTTTTGCCTCTAAGTATTATTTAATCTAAATATGAACTATTGAATTAAATGCAATTCATTTTATTTTTCAGTCATTTGCGATCACTATGCAAAGGCCAAGTGTATCAGGTCTTAATCATCGGGGATCTGTTTATTAAACTCTTTGCTGCCTGCAGCCTTTGTGTTGTCAATGAGGATAAAAGGTAATTAATAAAATGAAATAATTGAAATATACATACAAGAGATTTATTTTTAAATGCTTGAATATTACTCTCAATTAAGTTTTAAGGTATTTAATTTAATGCAATAATAATAAAAAATGTGAAAGAATTTGAATGCTTTTACACAAATGTTGAGTCAATAATACTTTTTTTTATTTGTTCAAGAAATTACGATTAAATAATGTTAAATTCATAGAGAGATTTTTCATGTGGTAATAAAATATACAAGTATAAAAATCTATAAAA